AGCTGAGTGTAAAAGTTAGTAACTCCTTGCTTTGTGCATTTTCTTAAAATATCACTTAGACTTGTGTTGCAATCGATAAAATTTCATGTTAGTTTTTCCCTGTAGTCTTTGTAAGCCTCCTTAAACTATCCTCATATTCAGGACAGAGATAGTGATTGGTACTTGGGGATCTTTAGTAAAGAAAATAAAGTTTACTTAATGATGTTTTGTTATATAAATATGCCTAATAAATATGAATGTATTTCATAGTTTATATACTATAGTAGTTAAAACCTGAACTGGGGAGCCGAGAAATGGTTGCCAGTCACTGATGCTCTGTTCCTCAGTCTCCCTTTGCTATTTTCAGCACCACAATTCTGTAACCTGTGCCAAGGATTTCAGCTTGGCAGACAGCAGTTACCGGGCCCGCTCCCTGAGGAGGAGCTGGAGTCACATGCACACTGTAGCTGGTATTCACACATGACCGTGATCTTCATACTGAAAGCATCCTACTTCCCTCGTCAGGAAGCACATCTTCCAATTTCACTGTCTGTAACAATTTTCCTTTCTAAAATGACACCCTAGACAACATTATGGAGCCAGAAGCAACTGACCAGGGATCCAGAAACTTGGAGGAATCCTAAAGCATTTTCAACTCAATTCTTTGTTAAATAGTAGAATCCCAAGAGGACACATAAATTCTAAGATTATAATTTAGAGATTTTATAACTTTGTAGTTCATAGAAATTCCATCATGGGGGACCTTAGAATAATTTGCCTCTCTGTGTGATTCAGCCTTTTCTATGTTGAAGGTTCCTTTGCTGACTTAGCTTAGAATCCTTTGAATTTCTACAATTTGTGTGTGATACTTGAAAGAAAGATATCCAGGAACCTAAATATTGTTGGTGAGTGACAAAGGATTGACTCACCATATAAGATATAACGACACACAAGATGATGACGTTGGATAGACATTCCTTGAGCCACTGCTCTCCAAGCCCAAACTGGCTTGTGTTACGTGCCAGTTGTAAATAGAAATGGTATGTAAACCTCCTGATATTAGGAGAGACATAGATGAAGAAAATTTAGCACGAAAAGAAATCATGATTTTCCTAATCTCAGGTCACTGATTATTGAGAACGTGCAAACAATAGCACCAAGGTCTGAGTTAAGTGAAATAAATCTTTGATTTGCTCTGTGAATAGTGAGGAATCCTAGAAACTTTGCCTAGGTAGAAATTTATTTAGCTGCCTGTTTATCTTCCTAGTCATAGTTACTGGAAAGTAGCGATGTTTCTCATCTTCCTCACCTTGAGCAAGAAGGAAAAGGCAAAGTATAATTCAAAGCAAATAGAGAACTCCAAAGGGCACAATTTGTACAATGAAATCTAGTGGTTTTTTCAGTAGTGAAACATTTTTGGTACTTAGCTGACAAGCCCTTTGAAGTAAAAAGTCTGACTTTATAACGTATGTAAAAGAGTGCTAGCTTTACAACTTTTATCAGTAAGGGCAATTTTTTTAAGCTCAGTTGTAACTGTGGGTTTTTTAGGTTGTCCTTGGAGCACACTCCCTCATGGTTCCCATATTCATTCATTGTTTCATCCTTTCATGCATACAGTATTTTACTGCATTTAACCCTAACTAGACCCGGCATTTTTTCCAGGCACTAAGGATTCAAGAGTGGAGAGTGACACTCCCTGTTTTAATGTTGGCCGACATTTAGGGAACAAAGAGTTTTTAGTTCATCAGTGAGCTTTACAGAAAGTTGAATAAAGCCAAGTAAATGAGCGTTAGACATGTCAGCCTTGTGTCAAGTCCTCAGGGTTACACCAATTAAAAATTCTATAATATCTGGTGGTGGATGCGACAATTACTTCTGTCACTGTGCTGAAGGGTGTTTGGTTGTTTTGCAGGAGTATTTACCAGGGACTTTAAGAATGTCATTATTTTGACTTCTAGGGAAAACTTGAAACCTGTATTGTGTCAGCACCTAAATCCTACCGTATACAACCTGGGAATCTCTAACACTCCAGAACAATTGGAGCAAAGAGCTGCATTTTCTTTTGTTAAAAATAATAATAGTCATATGTTAGCACCAGTGCACAGAACATAGACACACTCTTGACTATCTCACAGATATGGGACAAACATTCCCTTCATAAGGCTGGAAAGGCACTTTCAAGCTGGCTGGCAAAGTCTTTTTTTCTTTCTAGTGCATCAGCAACAGTTTTAGTTCATTCAAATGAAGTAAATGCATGGAATTCTCGAAAATGTCTGTTGAAAAATCAAAAAGGTTGAGGGTAAGCTCCATCCTCAGAAGAACACATGAGAAGATCAGCATCTTCATGGTCCCTCCAAGAAGAAATTAACACACATTTAAGCAGATGTCTGTAAACCTTTTTTACAAAACCCAGAGTATAAACATTTCAGGCTTGGAGGTGGTAGAATCTGTCTTGGTGACTCCACTCAGCTTCTGCAGTAGGAAAGCATCTATTGACAGTGTTCAAATAAATAAATATGCCTGTGTTCCAGCAACACTTATTTACAAGGTCAGGCAGCTGGCCACGTTTGGCTCCAGTGCCAAAGTTTGCCAACCCCTGATTTAGGCCAACCCCAATCTGTGTCCAGAGCAGTGGAAATGTTTTTCATATTTATTAGTTTCTCACTCCTATTTTATGTCTATCAGATACTTCAGTGTACATAAACATGTGCCCTAAGTAATGATAAACATGATTCTACATTTCTCATTAGGTGTAACTTGTAATAAAGATGCTATAATAAAGTATATCCTCAGAAGCCTAGTATTTATCCATGTAAGTGCAATTTTCCCAGTATTGATAAACCTTTGGTTGTCTTCCTATGTCAAAGATTATTTCCCTTTGCCTTATAGTGTGTGCAGTTAAACTTTTCTTATCTTTGTAAGTAATCTTTTGAGCTGATTCTTACGTGCACTTGAACTGTCCAGGTGCAAATGCCCTATGTCAGTCTCACTTGGTTTAATTTAAATTTTAAATCTCTCAGTGGTTATTTCCACTGCCTCCACCTTTTTTAATCAGCTGTCAATGTCACTGTATCTATGTATTTCTAATAATTGCCTTCTCTAAGTCCACACCACCTGCTTCCATAGATCCATGAACAAAATCTGTTTGCTGTGGAGACTGAATCCTGATTAAAAGACACACATCACCTCGTTTCTAGAATCTCATAAATTGTCAGCACAAATTCAAATCAAGTTCATTTTCTGGGGATGCAGAATTCACAGTGGCTATTAGAGTTTGGTGGTGTCTCATTTTGGAGTGAGATTTGATAACCCTGAAGTTAATGAAAATGTATTAATAGATAAATGAGGAGTCTTCCTAGTGTATTAAATATATCTTTATTTTCTGCGTTATTTGGAAAAATCAATGTAAGAAATTTTTCTTTATTTATTTTGCTGCATATTTTCTATTCTACACCTTGCTTATCTCTGTTTTTTTATTTTAAAGAGAAAAGAACAAAAAAATAACAAAAACAAAACAATACAAAAACAATAAAAATGATACAGAATTTCAAAACGAGGTGATAGGAAATTAACAATGGTTGTTGTGTTACCTATTGTTATCTTCAAAGTAGTTGCCCATCACCAGATAAAGACACATAAGATGGAGCAAACAATTACACATGAACTGTTCCTTTCAATAAACCACTAGAAATTAGTAGTACAATTATCTTAACAATCTTGTGTATATACATATATTTTTTCTCTTCTTTCTTTCTTTCTTTTCTCCTTTCCCTCATCTCAGTTGTTTTTTCCTTCTGAGCAGTTTCTTTCCCTTTCACAATATCTATTGTATCTTTCAGATTTTATCTACCCTTTCAAGTTCTTACACTAGGGAGACAATACAATGTTTACTCATGAAGGTCTGATTTATTTCATTTATCAGTATGGTCTCTAATTGCATCCATTTACCAATAAAAGCCTCAGGTTTATCTTTCTTTATAGCTGAGTAATACTCCATTGTATAAAAATACCACATCTTTTTTATCCATTCCTAAGCTGATGGGCATTTGGGTTGTTTCCAAGATTTAGCTATTACAATTTGTGCTACTGTAAACCTGGGTGCACATATATTGCTGTGGTATAATCTTTTCAGTTTTTCTGGAAAAACACCCAGAGGGGAATCACTGGGTCGAATGGGACCTCTAATCCTAGTTTCCTGAGGAATCTGCAGACTGATTTCCTCAGTGGTTGCACCAGTCTCCACTCCCACCAACAGTGGAGAAGTGTTCCTTTTTCCCCACAGCCCCACCAGAATTTGTTATTGATTGACTTCTTTGCCCATTCTTTCTGGGGTTTGACGGAATCTCTGTGTTGTTTTAATTTATATTTCTCAAATGACTAATGGTGTTGAGCATTTTTTCATATATTTATTTGCCATTTGTATTTCTTCATCCAAGATGCCCTAATCTCTCAGTTTGTCTTATACAGTTTAACACAATACATTTCAACTCTGGACCACATAAGAATCATCTGCAGAGAATTTAAAAAATACCAACCCTAGATCCCACCCTGGACAGTCTTCCTATCCGTTTGTGAGACAGAGAATAGGCATTGTTATTCCCTGTTGTCTTTGGGGTTGGTGTGTTTATTTTTTGTTTAGGACGTCTATGTAATTCTCCAGTTAGTCAAGACCTAACAACCACTGGCTTCCTGCATGCAATTCCTCTTGAAAGTCTGTATTAAAAGACTAAAGGAAGAGTAAGTTACACTGATACTCCACTGTCTATTTTGTGGCCTTGAAATCTAACAGTTAATAAATGTGCATTTGTCTAAGGACTTTAACTTCCTGTTTGGTGAAAAACATGGTGAAAGTTTTATTCTCAGTGACTGTAAGGAAAGTAGTAAGATGTTCCTTTTCGTTGTCGAGATCTTTCAGTCTTTTTTTCTTGACTGTGTCTTAAAGGACTACTGTGTCTTAAAGGACTGTTTTGAGTTTTTGGTAACTGAAGCTATCTGCATGTCACTGTCTCTCTCTATCACAGCACCAGAAGAATGGGCCACAACCCGCTCCAGCCTGAAGGCGCCACCCCCCAGGTCAGCGAGAGGAGGATACAGGGAACACCCGTATGGTAGATATTGAAGGTCCTCCTCGCCTGCGACTGCACCTAAAGACAGTGCAAAGTCTGTGGTCTCCACGTAAACAGCAACAAGACAAGTAATAGTCCTTTCATTTGTCTTTTCTATTCTAGGGGTAACTGCTCATGAGTACTCACATATATTTCTTGTATTGCCTTCTATGCTGTTGGCGTGGCATTGACACTAGTATTATTTTAAACAACAGACTGAACAAGAGACATTGGCAAGCATAGTTTATAAACCATACAGTAGGACGATATTCTCTTGATTGTTTTCACTGTTGTGTGTAATCTTTAATTTTCTTTTTCTTTCTTTTTCTTTTTTTAAGAAAGAGCATGAATCTGTTAACAGATTTTGAGTCTCAGCCAACTAGCAGAAACTTTGTTGAGGGTTGCTAAAAGCCTGTAATATGATTTTTGAACTAGCTGATAATAAAGTTGTAGATAAGATGTTTTAACTTGTCTTTTAATATCTTTTAGTTAGATGAAGATGTTCGATATTAAGTTTGTAAATTTAATTTTAAATGCTGTCTTAATGGGGTTGAAAACAAGCAGCTACTGTATGTATGTAGCTAACTGAATTTGTTCAGTGTTTTAACCTGTATTTGTTAAAAAGAAAAAAAAACACACATAAAGTTCCATGTGTAAGCTTCTCTAAATAGGAAACCACAATTTGTCAAATATGTTTGCCATAATTTGTCAATAAAGCTGAAAACTTTTGTAAAAACTAAATTTGGAATTACTTGTTTTCTAGCTTTAAATGCCTGCTTTATTTCTTCTTCAAGAGATGCCTAAAATGTTTTCTATTTAAAAATTACAAAAATGAACCCAAGCCTGTTTTAAGATATTTGTGTAACACTTAAAAATGTATTAATAACTTATGGTTGTTAAATAATTTAAAAGTTAACAAACTAAACTGTTACATGAATCATGGTTAGTAAACACTAATGTATAACATGTTAATGGAGAAAATGGATTTAGAATAATAAATGGATTTTAAACTATCCTCTAAGCTTTATCTTGCTAAACACAAATTCTGATTGACTTGTTTGCATTAGCATGTCTCTCGTGAGAAAGAGTAATGGAGTATAAAGAGGTAAGATTACCACTTACCACTGTCTAAATGCCTAGTTCTTCAACCTTTGAGTTTCCCCACACATTAAATATCCCATCCAACATGTAAGCATTGCGTAGATTCTCTTGACTGTTTTCACTCAAAGGAGTGCGTGGACTTCATTTTTGTAGTTGATAACAATTTGTTTTGACAAACAAATCATCAGTGTCACCGGCCAGTTGTTGCGATTCAACCTCAAAAACTTTATTTGTAATTTTCAGTGCTAAATATCACCGCCCTTGAAGGCAGTTTAGAGGGCTGATATTTCTTTTGAGACTATCAGACTTGATGGCTGATGATTATTAAGGAAATATGTCGCAGGACTCAAAGGATGACTAAACGTTAAACAGGTAACACTAACAGTAACTCTGTAATTTTGCCTATGCAACAGTAATGTTAAATATTCTCAGTTATTAAGTTCCTGATAGTTAAAAAAGTAAACCTACAAAAAGATAACAAATAGGTCTATAGGCTATTAAAACAACTAATTAACATTAACTAGAGGCACCAAAATTATTTTACAATATATAACCCTCAAGGCAATAAACAGAACTAAAATTAACAATAATAGTAATGCAACTCTTGCTAATATCAAACGTAAGCTAAATTTTGATGGAAAAGAGAAAGTGAAAGACTTGATGGTAGGGATGAATGCCAAAACTGTTAATTTTTTAAATATAGTTTTTTTGTTCTTGGTGGCTTTTTGTCAATGTGATTGGTTTACTTTTTTGCTGCTAACCAGCTTAGGCATATTGCTGTTCAGTTTTTGCAGCTGGAGTTGCATGCTAATAGTTTTATGAAAGTGTGTGTTTGTCATCAGTTGACATTATAAATATTTGCCTTGCCCAAAATGCTGTGGAGTTATATTTAATTTTATTTTTCTATTCTTTCTCACTATTTCAGGTACTCACAGGCAAACAGCACATAATTGAATAGCAGATGTTATGGGCTCAGAAGGATAGAGGTAAGGTTATTTTTTGTCTCTTTCAAATTAGCTAATCTTTAATAACATGAAAACATGATAGGACATGAAGCTGTAGCAGTGAAGTGAGACATTAAATGCCATTTGTTGAAATCTGAAAAAGATTAGATTGCTGTCAAGGAATTGAGTTATTTCTATCTTTACAATAAAGATCTGATTTGGTGTTTAGTTGGCAAAGCTTTCTGAATTTATTCTAAAGCTTGTCAAATTAAACATGAATTAGTGGGTAATTTTTAGCCCTTTTCTTTGCTGTGAACTACTGTCCCTTGTACTGTACTGCCCTTGATTGCACAAAAGATTATCAATGCTTTTACTCTGCTGATAGAAGGAGGAGATCACATCACTGACTAAGATAAAGGAAGGGAAACATCACACAACACCCAGCCCCATGCCTACCTTCTATCAATAAGGTTCACATAAAAATAAATGTAAACATGACCATTATCTTTCTGCCTTAGCCCATTGATGGGTCAGCAAACTCATCTTTCTCATCTGCCATTCTGTTTGATTAACTAATAGTTACTGAATCCCAAGTGCCATTGGAAACTGAGACTTGTTTTCTGTACACAAGGAGTGGAAAATGTTAGCCAGTCAGCTTCAGGCTGAGAAGGATGCAAGGACAGTTATGCGGTGCGCAGGCTGAGCTGACAGTGGAAGAATGCAAGTGGGCTGGAGCAACGTTTGAAGCAAGGTAAATAAACAAACAAACAAAGCACCTTCTGCACCTGGTCCTCTCTGCACTACATAAATACTTGCCTTTCAGCTTAGCTATGAAGAAGAGCTGCAGGACCGAAGCGAGGGCCTGAGGATTCCTAAGCAGGAGGGCAAAGACAAAGGCTAACAGCCGCTGGGGTGGGCAGAGAGGACCTGAGCTCAAGGAGCCCTGAGGGCCCGACCCATGAGTTACTCTCTAAAAGCTCAGCCTGCCTCCTCTTCCAAGTAGCTGAGAATATAGGCAGTCACTATCTTATTTTAATGTCACAGATTAAAAGTTACAATTCTGCAATTTTACTTTCCAATGGCATCGTCAGTCTGAGTTATTTTAAAAGTTGCTGTTTCTATAAAGCAAGAGGAGAAAGCATTTCCAAGGCTGCTGTCCTGCTTATTTTTCTCCTTGTCCTTTCCACCAGTAACAGGCCTGATTTAGTAAAGCAATGAAAGGAAACCCAGCCATCGTTTGTTACTGTTTTGATGTATTAACCCATATGGCCAGGTGTTCTCATTGCAGTTATTCGACTGTTTCTATGGTCTTCTAACTGTGGTTCGCTCACCATGCAGACTAGGCCTTGGCACGTGATAACTCCTGGCAGGGTGTCACAGCAGAAACATTAGTGCTGAACAAGAGAAAAAAACCGTGTTTAAAGCCCCAAAACAAAGACCCACAAGAAGGAGGACTTTGGGGTGCAGAAGCATGCATTGAAAGGAACACAGCCTGATGAAGTTTGGACATAAAATTTGGGTTTAAACAGTAGATTCAAAAGACATCGATCCATCTATGTCCATATACCTAGAACCTAAACACTGTCAAAGTAGAGAAGAGACCTCAGGAAGCAACAGTATCTAAGCTGTGAGTGGAGCCTTGGATATGGGTTTTGTAAACCAGGTTATTTATTCTGTAATGACTCGGGTAGGCTTAGAACATGGAGAGGCACTTTGTCTTAAGTGGGACCTGGGGCTGACCGCATTGCAGGTACATCTGTGGATGCTACAGCGTGCAAAAGGCAGAAGACCACTTGCTCCCTGCCACCAACACCTCCACAACTTAAATTCAACTCAGAAAAAGGAAATGGTGAAGAATAAGTCCTCAGGTTGGCAGAGGAATTTCTGACCTAAATTAATCTTAGTTTACTGAAATTATTTTTCTCTACCTAGAATGATAGGTAATAGAGTTTGTAATCAAGTTGTGGTATAAGACTGAAAAAAGAAAAGAAAAAGAGAAAGCTCCTTGTTTGACTCTTAAAGGAATCAGAAATGAATACAAAAGCCATTCGGTGAGTGGTTTCAACAAGAAAGCCCGGTCCAGGCAGAGGATCCTTCTCTAGTTGGTACCAGAAGCGACACTGGATTCCACCTGGCTCCCTTCATGACATCAGTCTACTCCCTAGGATTTCACAGTGTGGTCTCCCAAAAGTGACAAACATTCTTGTGTCTGACCCCAATCTTACATGTATGGCACATCCAAGCTTTCAAGTACGATTCATTCTGAGTGTATCTTGAAGTTGCTGCGTGCATGTGTGATCCATTCTTTCAGATAATGTTGTGATTCTGCCTACTGATGATCCTGTGACAGCTGGGACCTCTAAAACACCAAAGGTAGCCAGCTTGGGCACAAAATGAGGCACTTTAAAGAGAAATAGACATTAATAAGTAAGAAAGTTTTTAGACCTGCTATTTTTATAACAAAAGGTTTTACTACATTCAAGTAAAAATTCAAGTAAAAATAAATTAGAATTAACTTGATGCTTTTAGATCTCACAATTTTTCAGTAATTTTCACTTTGATTTATTAACAAAACTAAGACCATTTAGCTGAATGATGGTGCACTACTGATTTTTAAATTTTGGCACAAAATAACATATAAAAGAGTCTCAGGAATTCTTTGAAAGGAAATGGTTTTTAAAAATTTTGTTATTAAAATATAACTCATTTTTATTCTACTTGTTCACTTATGTATAGGTATTTTGAAAACCACTTTTACATCTTTAAAATTCAATCCTTTAGCTGCAGCATTCTCTATGTCTCTTGGTTTATGTAATGTAGAAAATTACAGGTTTTTGTATTGTTTTGTTGTGTTTCACTTTTGGAAATACAGAACAGTGATTAGTAATCTGAGTTGGCTAGGTATTTTGTTTCAGCATAAAGGTTCCTGTTACTGAAAGTTACCCATCTGTGGCCCTTACAAGTCACATGAGCAGGTTTAATTTTCACTGCAAAAAAACTTACAATAAGTAAGAGCAAATAAATACAATAGAAGGGCAGTTTATGAACCTGAATCCATGATTTATGGTTTGTATAAAGATACCACATTAATAGTAGCAACAATTTTTTTTTTATTTTTACTGATTTTTACAGTGGAATCTTCTGGCTTTTGAGCATACAGGCCAGGCAGCGTTCTAGAATTTTAACATAAAAACTTACCTTTGTGCAGGCAATGTATCTAAAAATGTACCTTAATTTAGTATAAATGTCTTACATGTTTTATACATTCTTTGGCCTATTAGTCTGGTTTTTAATCTGTGTATTTGATAATTAACTTCATAGGATCTTATAAAATGAATGAATCTGAAGCTAAAAGAATAAAAAGGGATGGACAGAAGGGAAAAATAATTGAACTGTGTTCTGTATGTGTACCAATTCCCTACATTGATGTGATCATTATGTACTACAAACATGTACTGATAAGGTATAAAAAAGCACCTACAGTTCTCTCAAGCATGCAAAGAAAATAAATTTTTTTCTGTAGAGTAGGAAATAATAGAACACATTGCTAATAAGTAGAAAACTCAATACTTAGAGAAACTTTGACAACCCACATATTTTCCAGTGAAGGTCCCCAACTTTGGATAAATTTAATTGAAATGATGGTAATCCCAGGTATCTTTGACATAATAGCTTTGACACATATTCTGTAGAAATATAGTAAACATTCATTTAAAAACATTACAATATTTTTATTGAAGTGCATCTTATTTGGTTTTCTCTCAAAGTTGTCCTTCTAAAATTTCTGAGATATCATAGAAAAATGCAGGTGAAACTACCCTATATTTGTCTCAAAGCATGGCTATAGTCTTTGTAGTATTGTCATTTATAATCTAAACCAGTTTTACATTTTAAAAGCACCACATGATTAAATAAACATGAAAGCAATTTAAGACTCTGTTCTTCAGTGCATAGATCAGAACTCTGCTTT